GTATATGGTGTGAGGTATGGGTCCTGTTTCATTTTTTTACAGATGGATATCCAGTTTTACTAGCACCATTTGTTAAAAAGATTGTCTTTTCCCCATCTGATGGACTTTGGGCCCTTGTCGAAGATCAGATGACCGTAGGTGGATGGATTTACATCTGGGTTCTCAATTCTGTTCCATTGGTCAATGTGTCTGTCGTTGTACCAGTACCCCAGTATTTGGTGTTTTTGACCACACTACTTTCTGTAAGAAACTCTTAGATGGGCAGAGCCTTCAGCCTTTGCTTACCATTTCCTCTCCCTCTTTGTGATAACTCCTTATCTCTCCCTGGTTTAATTGGGATTCGAAAGTTCCAGATCTTGTTTTCCAACTTTCAGTCTCTCCCAGACACACCAGAGAACACCCTGTGGTCAGTCTGTCCACCAGCAGACATCACCACTCAGGCATAATATCATGTACTAATCAATCTGTCCACCAGGGGGCACCGTCCCCTCTCTCTGGTTATTGTTCCCTTTCTGTTTCTACAATCACATTTTTAGTCAGAAAACCCACACCCACCAAACCCCTTTTGGAGCTGGGTGTTGCCCTCTGGTTTTTCCTGAGGTTTTGTTCCCTGCTCTGTAGGGGCTGCTTATATCTAAGCTGGGGAAGCACAGGCACAAGCAGACTTTCCCCAGTTTCAGGAGGAAGAGGGGCTGGCACTCTCCAGAAGGACCTCTGAGAGATTTGTCTTGATGGTTTCAGAGCCCCAGTGGCCCTGTGGTGGTTTGGGCAGCAGTCTCCACTTAGGTGACCCACCTCCTGACTCCACTGTAGGGACCCTTCTGTACAAGTTCATATCAGTCCAGCCGCCACCAGTTACCAGTTGGGGAGGGGAAGTCACACTCCAAATGGACCCCCAGGGAGGTCTGCCTTGTTGCTATCAGAGCTTGCCCCCTGGAGTATGTTGGCTGTGGGTGTATTCTCCACTTCCACTCAAGATGCCTGCTTCCCAGGACACAGCAGCCTCAGTCAGCAGTCCTCAATGCCAACCAGAAAGGGGAGCAGGCAGACCCAAACTGAATCCCTGGGAGGTCTGTCCTGTTGGTTTCAAATGAGGGCTCTGATAGCAACAGGGTAAACCTCCCCAGAGGTCTGTTTGGAGTGTGACAGCACCTCCCCCAACCAGACACTGTCACCTGCAAGCCGGCTGTGAATTGCTACAGAAGGGCCGTTTATTGGAGTCTGCTCCCGTAGTCAGCACTCTGCCTGCCTTCCTGCGCACCTCTGAAACCAAGAGGACAAACCTTCTGTTGTTAGGGTTAGTCTGCCCCCATTTTCGGTTGATGCTGAGGTCTGCTGACTGAGGCTTCTGTGTATGTTGGCTGTGGGTGTATCTTCCACTTCCACTCAAGATGCCTGCTTCCTAGTACACAGCAGCCTCAGTCAGCAGTCCCCAGTGCTGACCAGAAAGGGAAGAAGCCAGACCCAAACTGAATCTCTGGGAGGTCTGTCCTGTTACTTTCAAGGGCCTGAGCTATGGGGGCAGGTGAAGTGTTGACTATAAGAGCAGACTCCACTGGAGGGGGCCTTCTGTAGCAATTCACAGTAGGCTTGGAATTGACAGTATCTGGCTAGAGAAGGTGCTGGCACACTACAGATGGACGCCCAGGAAAGTCTGCCTTGTTGATTTTAGAGCATAAGCTTGGGATCCTGTCTCTTTGTACAGGCAGGGGATGTGGTGATTAGGGAAATGGGCTGTTTCTCTGGGGCCACTTCCCCAGTTCACAGCAGCCAGTGGCCAGCACAGCTGAGGGGAGGGGCAGGGACAGTGGGAAAAGTGATTTTCCTACTGTATGCAACTTGTTGATTGATTAATTCTTGCCTGTCTGTAGTTTCCCGCTGCATTCCTCTGGTCCCTAATTCAGAGTTCCTCAAAGCTGAGCACCATTTCCGTGTTATATTTCTTGTTGTCTTTGTGGGGGAGGATCAGAACGATGGTTTGTTTATGCTACCATCTTCCCAGAATCAAGTAAATTTTATTTTTTTAATCAAATCCATAATTCTGAAATTTGTTTTCTTAAAATAATGTCCAGCTAAATGACTCTCACTTGAAATGATTTTGCCATCAGGGACATTTGGCAATGTCTGGAGGCATTTTTGTTACAAGTGTATTTGAGGGAGGAATGCTACAGGGATCTAGTGGATGGAGGCCAGGTTGCTGCTAAGCATCCTACAATGTACAGTACAGCCTCCCACAACAAAAAATTATCTGGCCTGAAATGTCAATAGTACTGAGGTTGAGAAACCCTGTTCTAGCTAATGTTTATTTAGCTCCATGAGAACAGAGACGCTGTATATTTTACCATCCCTGTCCTCCCAGCTCCCAGCCCCATGCTTGCCACATAGTATTGCTTAATAAATAGCTGTAGAACAAAGAACATTTCAGCAGAAACCAAACTCATGGGGATAAGTATTGTTAGAACCTGAGATCAGTACTTGAAGCTCAACAAGCACTAGGAAAAATCTCTATATAACTATTTTTAAACTGTGTTGTTATCTTCAAGTGTGTTTTAGAGGGTTTGGTGGGGAAAGTCTTTTAAGAGGTTTGGCAGAGATTGTGGCTTGCGGAAGTAGATAGAGAAGTGTTTTATTGTTGTTTTAAGCATTTTATGCAAACGCCTTGTATATAAACTGGGCACTTCAAAGGAAGGAAACTGAGGCGCCTGCTGGCCTGGGTGTCATAGAAGGGCTCTCCTCAGAGAAAAGGAAACTTAAAGGTTCTTTTGCCATTAAGAAGATGCCAATAACACTCTTTCTGCATGAGTTCAGGGAGCCAAGGTGATCATGTGCAGCAGAAAAAACAAAACAGTTTAGAGGAACTGAGCAGATGATATGCAATTGAATCCAGGTGAACATTGAGGGAAAAGAAATAATCAGAACACATGCAATGCCTTCTGTTTAAGAATTAGCAAACTACGAAGAGGTCCAAAGTGCCACAGATGAGTTAAAAGAAGGGTTAGATTAATAAAGCTAGTGACAGGAAGCATTTATCACAGATCTATAGATGTACAGTCATGCGTTGCTTAACGTCCACAATACATTCTATGAAATGGAACGTTATGTGATTTGGATGTTGTACAAACACTGTATTATGGATAAAGGGACTTTCAGGCCATTTGCTTCCAGAATAAATAAGTTTTGTCCATATTAAAAATTTGCTGGGACAAATAACCTCCCTCTGCAATTAGTTTAAGGAGTCCTGGTGGTGCCGTGGTTAAAGCGCGTGGCTGCTAACCAAAAAAAGTCAGCGTTTCAAACCACCATCCATCCACTGTGTGGGAAAAAGATGTGGTAGTCTGCTTCTGTAAGGATTTACAGCCTTGGAAACCCTGTGGGGCAGTTCTACTCTGTCCTGTAGGGTTGCTATGAGTGGGAATTGACTTTATGGCAGTGGGTTTGGTTTGGTTTGTGGACAATTAGTTTCTCTAAGGTTTCAACAAATTCTTCTGCTGCCTTCTTATCAGCAGTCATAGATTCACCACTCATGTCACGTTATGCAGCGAAAAGCATTGTCTGAGGAGCTTGAACCACCCAGAGCTAGCACTAAACTCCATATTGTAGTCTAGTCTTGCTTTTTCTTTAAGCATCTCGAACAAACTTCCTGTTTTAGCAGTGATCCATGCTGAGGGGGATTCGCTTTTGTGTTTGGTCCTCAATCCACGTCATTAGCAATTTCTCCATGTCTGATGTAAGTCCCTCTCGGCATTTTCATTAGGCTGGTAGATTTCAGGGAAGCCGATCATTTAACAGCTTGGAGGATTTTTTCCTTTGTTTTTGAGGATTGTCGTGATTGTCAAGTATAATGTGCCTAAATCCACTACGTCCCATTCTCCAATTGGGATTTCTGAGCTCTGTTATAACCTATGGGACCGCGGACATATATGCAATTGGTCATTGCCCCAAAGGACGTTATGTAGTGCATGATTGTATATTTCCTAAATTTTGATCTTCATTTTATCTCTTAGCTCATGCATTTCTTTTAACCTTTGCAATAACCAAAGCTATTATCTTAATAGTCCTTGGGTGGTTTAAACAGTTAATGTGCTCAACTGCTAACCAAAAGGTTGGCAGTGCAAGTCTACCCAGAAACACCTCAGAAGAAAGGCCTAGTGATCTACTTCTGGAAAAATTAGCCATTGAAAACCCTATGGATCACAGTTCTACTCTGACACACATGGAGAGTCACCATGAGTTGGAATCTACTCAAAGGCAATTGTTTACTATTATTATTATCCCAATAAGAGTACAATTTAATAGAAAGAAATGATCAGATGGGAGCATGCTGTTGCTCCTTCTATCGGATTCTGCTCAGCCATGGACAGTTATATGGGACTGGACTGCATACTGTGGGGCTAGAGACTGCACCACTTCCAGAAATGCCACCGTGGCGTTTAAGTGAAGACAAGTGCCAGAGGGTTTTCAGAGGGCTGGCTTCACATTTCTAAATTTATTAAGTGATAGTAATTATCACAAATGCCAACTGAGAAAATATTAGGGCAGTAGTTTGAAAATAAGATATCATTAATGGGTCATGTAATAGTTTGAATGCAATGCATGTTAAACAATGTATCCTCAAGCTTGGCATCAGATTGTACCATAGGCACTTGCTTGAGGCTGTCTCCACGCATGGCTATGAATTTGGCAGCAACCTTACAAGAAAAATGCAGCTTGCAAGATCGAGGTTTGTGGCTCCAGTGAGGCTCTTCAGAGGACTGTTCCTCCTCTGAGTTTAAGAACTAGTCTCATTGTGTCCTCTCCTTTCTCTCTGCTGCTTTCTCAGGAGGAGGACTTCATCCAACCCAGTAGCCGAGAAGAGGCCCAGCAGCTATGGGAGGCTGAGAGGGTCAAGATGCGGCAGAAGCTGGACAAGCAGCAGAAGCAGATGGTGGAAGATTACCAATGGCTGAGGCAGGAGGAGAAATCCCTGGTGAGCAGCTGCTGGACTGTGGGTGGGGATGGAGCCCTTTCCACAGTTCTGCTGAACACATTTTAGTAAAAATGCGTGCATGGGAGGGATTTCCATGCTATCATGTCAGTTTGTGTTTTCTTCATCTCCCAAGCTGACTAGAGTGAACGTTCTCTATGCATTCTTTTTTCTTCAACTGTGGTAAAAATATGCAAACCAAAATATTCACCAATACAACAACTTCCACATTTACAATTCAATGACATTGATTATGTTTTTCTTGTTGTGCCACCATTCTCCCTATCCTTTTCCAAAATATTCCACCACCATCAACATAGATTTAATGCCCCCGAAACAAAAACTCCCCTTCTCCCCTTCCCTACCATCCCTGGTAACCATTAATAATCTTTGGTTTCTATATATTTGCTTACTTCATATAAGTGAGATCATACAGTATTTGTCTTTTTGCAACTGACTTATTTCACTCAGCATAATGTTTTCAATGTTCATCCATGTTGTGGCATGCATCAGGACTTCGTTTCTCTTTACAGCTGCATAATATTCTCTCTGTGCGTTCTTACTCTTTTTAGTTCTAGAATTCTAAGTCCCTTGCTTTGGTTTTCTCTTTTGCAGGACCCCATGGTTTATATGAACAATAAGTCCCCATTGGTAAGTCACAAGGAGAAGTCTCTTTCTTGGAAGTAAGTCCTCAGTTTGTGTAAACAATGGAACCCCTCAGTTCTAGCCCCTTTGTTATTATTTGTTTATTATTTGTTTTTATGTTGGGAGCATGTCTTTTCCCTTTACACTGATCTCCAAGTGGCTTGCTTCCTGAGTCTCATGTGATCTACACGCTTAGCACTGCCTTGGCGTGCCACAGGGCCCCTCGGCCTCTTAGAATGGAGGGGCCCACCCCAGGTCACTTTTGGTCAGGAGCTCCCCAGAGCTCACCTCTGTAGCTATGATGTCTAGACACACAATTGAGGGAATAGGGGTAATTAAAACGGGGAAATCAGTTGTCCCCAGAGCAGCATTAGTGACTGTTACTTCTTTCCTTCCTTCTAGACCCCAGAGAAAGAGGCCGGCTACAGTAAGTGTTCACACCCTTCCTTTTGGCCCAAGTTTCTGCTTAGCATCTTGTGTTGAGCCACTCTCCTTGCTCACTGTCTGCGCAGAAAGCAGCAGAGTGTGTTTGCAATTTTAAGAAACGTCGGCCTTGTTTTAATTCAGGATATGATGAGGGTCCGTGGTTGAGTTGCTATCCATCCCTCTGCCCCATCTATCCGCGCTGCTCTCTCCCTGCCTAGTGGCTTTTCTCATCTCTCTCTGTTGCCTGAGTCCTCAGTCCTCTTCCTAGTTTATCTCGTTCTTGAATATATTTTGAGGAGTTGGTGATTCTTTCTTCCTTCCTGTCTCCTGCTCACTCTGCTGGAGGCTCTTTTGCACAAAGCAGTTAATGGATAATAAAGTAGCCCTATCCTATAAGGTCGCTATGAGTCAGAATTGACTTGACAGCAATGGGTTTATGAGTTATCCTGCCTCTGGCTGGTGCAAACAGATAAGCCCTCGACCACTAGCTGAAAGATTGGAGGTTCAAACCTACCCAGAGATACCTCGGAAGACAAGCCCGAGGGCCTGCTTCTGAAAGGTCACAGCCTTGAAAACCCTATGGAGCAGTTCTACTCTGCACACCTGGGTTGCCATGAGTCAGACTTGACTCCATAGCAACTAACAAAAACATCCTGTCTCTTATCAGTTCCTACTCACCTTCTCTAGGCCTGAGGGATGGAAGAGAGAAAGTAGAAGGGGACAGCTGAGCCTGCAGGGTCTCTTCTGAAACCTCTGCTGAAGGCAGGGAGGAAGGAGCCAGCTGTGAGCTAGGCTACTGCCTGGATCCTGGGGGTGGGTGTGGGGCGGGGTGGTGGAAGGACTTAACCATTATCTGATGATTATTCTGATAATGATGACAACTACAACAACAACAATAGTCACAGAAAAGTTAACACAAGCCAGCACAGGCCTAAGTGATTTACAAATATTAACTCATTTAATCCTCACAGCAACTCTGTGAGATAGGTGCAATTTATTACTACCCCATTTTACAAAGGACTAATTCGAGGCACAAGGAGGTTAAGTAACTTGCCTAAAGTCACACAGCTAATCATTAGCAGATCTCAGATCTGAGCCCAGGCAGTCGGCTCCAGGGCCCCTTCTGACCTGACATCTCCAAGTGGCTTTGTTTTTTTCTTTCTATAAAATGGACAGTAGTGTTGTCTCTGCCAGTAGGAGAACCAGAGAGGCCAGAGGGTATTTTGCTGGTACTTTCATTTGGCTGCATGTTTATTTTCCTGCTGTCTTCCTGAAATTCAGATTTCATTTCCCAGGGGCCTTCTCGTCAAGGAGGAGAGAGGTTTCCCTTGGTGATTGGGAGGTAGAAAGGGAAGGGCTTGGGTGAGGAGAACTGGCCCGCTCACTCTCCTTCCTTGTTACAGCGGAGTTCACGGGGCCTCCACAGAAGCCACCGCGGCTGGGCGCACAGGTGCGTGAAGGGCTTTGCGGAAGCTGGTAACCACTTTGAGTCAGGGCTCCACCAGACTGAAGACCATGGGCTGCTCAAACTTTAAAGGACCTCAGGCATAATCTAGTCCAGTATCCTCATTATACAGATGAGGCCCAAAGAAGGGAAATGCCTTGCCTAAGGCCACACAGCCAATTCTAGAAAAAGCAAGAAGAACCAGTCTCCTATCTCCCACGCCTCCTCTCCAACCTAGAGGACAACTCGTTGGTCCAGCCCTAGGGGCCTGAGGTGGGGGCCCCCTCTTTCTGCTGAGCCTTCCCCATTGGCTTCCAGCTCCGCCATTGTCATTATAGTAGACTGAGGTGCTGGTTTTCCGCTTTCTCAAACAGTGATTCTCAACCGCGGCTGCCTATTAGAATCACCTGAGGAGCTTTGAAAACTACCTGGGCCCCATGCCCAGGCGATGATCCAGTTGGTCTGGTGTGAAGTGGGAAATCAGTGTTTTGAAGCTCCTGGCCTCGGCAGTAGGGCTGAGACCACTGCCCTGGAAGCAGAAGGGAGGGATGTCCCCCCGGACACGGCACTATTATTCCAGAGAAGAGTCTTTTCAAATTGGTTTGGTGGCTGAGTGGGCACCTGTAGTGCCTGCCCACGGAAGAATTGTAGTATGCCTTGACTCTTCCCCTGCCATCTGCTTCTTTCCCCTCAGTCCATCCAGCCTACGGCTAACCTGGACAGGACTGATGACCTGGTGTACCTCAATGTCATGGAGCTGGTGCGGGCTGTGCTGGACCTGAAGAACGAGCTCTGTCAGCTGCCTCCTGAAGGCTATGTGGTCGTGGTGAAGGCAAGAGCCAGGAGGCTGAGCCGGGGATAGGGGAGGTGGAGGCTGCCCATCCCAGGCCTAGAAGGAGGGGCAGGGGCTGAGCTTCCTGTCTCTTACCCCAGCAGGTACTTTTCCTAGGAAGACCCCGATTAGAGCAAGGTGGTCAAAGGGAATTTAGTCCCAGGTAGCCTCACAAGGCAGGTACCATCCCAGGGGACACATGGCTTTATCAAAATGCAGGAGGTGATGGTCTCCCTGCCCCTTTTTCTCCCCAGAACGTGGGGCTCACACTGCGGAAGCTCATTGGGAGTGTGGACGATCTCCTGCCTTCCTTGCCATCATCTTCACGAATGGAGGTGAGTGTCCTTGTCCCAGGTGGTGCCATAAGCCTTCACTTCTCCCCTCCTCTCCACCTGTCCCTAGCTGTGTTTCCTACCTGAGGCTCACAGGGCCATTCTGGGCAGCCTCACTTCTGCCTGCTGAAGGCGGCTCTGCACAGCATGTTTGAGCAGTGACCAAAGGAACTGAGAGGGCACTAGGGGCTTCCTGAGGTGAACTTCCTGGTCAAGCCTCAGATGACTGCAGTGAGTTTCTTTTTAATATTTTATTGAGTTTTTGGTGAAAGTTTACACAGCAAATTAGGTTCCTATTTAACATTTTCTATACATAGTGTTCAGTGACATTGGTTACATTTTCCACATTGTGTCAACATCCTCCATATTTCAGTTCTGGTTGTTCTCATTCCATTAATCCAGCATCCTGGCTCCCCTGCCCCCTCCGCCCCCTCCCTCAACTTTCTCATCTATGCTTTAGGGTAAATGTTGACCATTTGGTCTCATATAGATGGTTCTTTTTTAAAATAACAAGCATAGTACTCACAGGTGATATTGTTTGTTTTATGAACCAATCTGTTATTTTGCTGAAAAGTGACCTCCAGGAGTAGTTTCAATTCAAAGTTTAAAGGGTATCCCAGGGAGATAGTCTTGGGGTTCCTGTAGTCTTTGCTGGTCCAGTATGTCTGGCCTTTTTTTTAAAATAAGAATTAGAGTTTTGTTCTAAAATTTTCTCCCATTCTATCCAGGACCATCTATGGTGTCCCTTGTCAGAATGGTTGGTATTGGAAACCGGGCACCATCTAGTTCTTCTCGTCTCTGGATAGATAAGGCCCTGGTTCATTGCAGTGTTCTTATTGAGTGAGGATATGCAAAGGAGGACACACTTTCCTCTTATTCCCTCTTTTAATCTTTTATCTAGTCACCTTACATATTAGAGGTTAAGGTGAGTGTGTCATTGAAATAGAGTTTACAGTTTTCTATACTTAATCATTTAATCTAGTTTTTTTTATTGAAATGCGAAGCAAACAAAACTGTCACTGAAAACCAAAATGGGAAACATCCCTAAAGCATTAGTGCTCTATATTGAGATTGTGCCTGTGATAGGCAGAATAATGACCCCCAAAGACAGCCACATCCTAATCCCTAGAATCTTTGGATATGTTACCTTATGTAGCAGAAGGGACTCTGCAGATGTGATTAAATTAAGGATCTTGACTTGGGGAGATTATCCTGGATTGTCTGGGTGAGCCCAGTGTCATCAGAAGGATCCTTATAAGAAGGAATCAGAAGGACCAGAGTCAGAGAAGCAGAGGTCAAAGTGATAGGATTGCTGGAAGGGAGCCATAAACTAAGGAATGCAGGCGGCCTCTAAGACCCTGAACAAGACAAGGAACAGGCTCTCCCCTAGAGCCTCCAGAAGGAACACATCCCTGCCAACACCTTGACTTTAGCTTAAAAACAGCAAACAAACCTGTTGCTGTGGAGTTGGTTCTGACTCATAGCAACCTTATAGGACAGAGTAGAACTGCCCCATAGGGTCTCCAAGGGGCAGCTGGTAGATTCGAACTGCTAACCTTTTGGTTAGCAGCCAAACTCTTAACCACCTAGTGAGACATTTCCTACTAACTGACCTCCAGAACTGTAAGATAATACATTTGTGTTGTTTTAAGCCCTAAATCTGTGGTAATTGTCCCAGCAGCCATAGGACACTGATATAGTGCCACTGTCAGTTTGTTGGTTGTCCCCGTTTTAATGTTGAGGCATCTGGAAACCAGTAGTAGACCCCCAGAAAGCCCTTTCACACTCCACCAGGCTGCACTTTTATCTACCCACTCCCCGGCGGTCAGTGAAGGGGTACAGGTGCCCACCACCCCAGCCCTGCTCCCACTGTCTGTGGCTGCTCAAGAAAGGATGAGACATTTCCTGGCTTCCCTCCTCGTGGCAGCAGCAGCCCAGAGGAGCCCCAGCCTGGGTTGCCCTGTTTGGTGTGAGTGTTTGTTGCCCTTGAGATGATCATCCATTCATTCATGAACGATTCATTCATTTCTTTTGATAAATATCTCCTGAGCGCGGACTATGTGCTCAGTAGTATGCTAGGCCCTGGGGATAGGGCAGTAGACAAAACAGACACACTTGGAGTTGACAGTAGGCAGCTAAACATATGAGTACATGTACTTGATCCCTGACCATTCACTCAAACACTGGACCAGCGAGAGGAGAGATTTCAGTGAAAGGTGTCCGTCCATCTGGATCATGCTGGGGTGGTAGCAGGGTGGGCTGAATGGTCCAGGCCAGTCTTTGATGTCAGTCCTTGCTGTCCCAGGCTCCAGCCTGCATGGGGCCTTGGATTGAGCCCAGGGAACTTCTGACTGCCTTGGACAAAGCTTGAGACCAGCCGAGGCCAATACTTGTGTTGTCACCCTCCTCCAGGCATCAGCCTTTGCAGCCCCCTCAGCTCCTAGCCTCCCACATGTGCTCTCCTTGCAGATTGAGGGGACCCAGAAACTGCTGAACAAGGACCTGGCAGAGCTCATCAACAAGATGCGGCTGGCCCAGCAGAACGCTGTGACCTCCCTGAGTGAGGAGTGTAAGCGGCAGATGCTCACAGCCTCCCACACCCTGGCCGTGGATGCCAAGAACCTGCTTGACGCCGTGGACCAGGCCAAGGTTCTGGCCAACCTGGCCCACCCACCTACAGAGTGATTGAGGGCACCACCCTGCCTGCATCATCCACCCCCACCTGGTGTCATGTACCCCACCCCCTGGCCCTTGCCTTGCTTTCAGTCATGTGGGTCTTCTCAGGGGGAAGGCCTAGGGGAGTTCTTCCCTTGCCACTTTGCACGACCCCCATCTTCCCACCCCCACCCCTGCTCAGGCTGCAGCTGGACACAGGAGACCCTGGGCTGTGGATGCTGGGGGATGGCAGAGAGGGCTCAGAGGAAGAGCTGCGGCTCCCAGCCACTCCCTCCTCACACCTGCTGGCCCCGAGCATGGGTGCCTTGTTGGATGTCACCATGGAGCCAGGAGCAGCTGCATGGACACGACAGGCAGATTTGAGAACCAAACTATTCTTTCTCCTTCCTCTTTGGCCCTCAGAGGACCCCTGCTGCACAGAGGGGCTGGGTAGGGGCTTTTTTTGGGAGGCAGTGGCTGATGAGGCAAGGGATGGACCTAATTTCGTGTACAGTGTACATTGGAATTTATTTAATGTGAGTCTGGTCTGGACTGACAGCTGTGTGCCCTCCTGAGGGAGGACCTGGGAGATGGTCCAGGAACAAGCTAATTGGGACTCTGGGCACAGGACACTGTGTTATGTCAACAAACCAAGCATTGGAAAGACTAGGAAGAGACAGAAGCCAAAACAAAACTTTGAGCATATCTGCCTCTCTTCCTCTCTCCCTCTTTTTTCTTTCTTCCTTTACTTTCTTCCCCTCCTCTCCTTTCTTTTTCCCTCTTTTCTTACTCGTTCTCCTTTTTTCTCCCCTTTTCTCACCTAGTCCCTTCCTTTCGCTCGTGTTTGTGTAGAACACTCTTTTACCTCCTTTCTATTTGACTTGTGGTTGAACTAAAATTGTATAATTTGCTTTGTGGTTTGTTTGATTTTTGTTGTTTGTTTGAGCCGCACTTTGGGGGAAGAATGTTGACCTTGAACCACAGCCCTGGATAAATCGATTGTGCCCCTCGATGGGTGGACACTGGGCCTCACCCAAGTGGGGGCGTGAGGTGACACTTGGGTAGTGGAGTTTGCTCCAGCCCCTTTGCCTCAGCATGGTGGTGGAAGGGGCCTGACAGAAGGGCCACTTTCCCTGGGGACCCATGGCAGTTCCCACCATGGCCACGTAAGGAATGCCAGTGGCACTCTCCTAGTGGATACCAAAGTGACCAGAGTTTGGAGGGGCTTGGGAGGGACTCATGGTGCTGAGGGAGTGGCCAGAGAAGAGGACCTCACAGTTAAATGAGCAGATTAGATTTCATTTCATCCCTTTATTTACATGCAAGATGGATGGGGAATGTGAACAATATTAGTGACCATCACCACACCAGGAGATGAAGTGTGAGACTAGACCAGAGAGCCCAGTGTCCTCTGGGAGTGAGGAGGGAGAGTTGGAAGTCTGCATTCACAGGAGTAGAGAGGAGAGAGAAACCAAAATGGGCCACTGAGAGGGGCATCTTGGGCTGGGGTGTCAGGGTCAGTCTGGTCTCCCCTGGGTCTAGCAGGCATCCACCTTCCAGGGAGAGGCGTGGGGGGGGTGGGTTGGAAGGAGGGGATCCCACAGCCTGAGAGGAAGCTGAAAGCTCAGCTCTGGCTTCCTGCTAGGCTCTACACGCTGGGGGCCAGAAGCCTTCTGGAGAACCTGGCATCAGTCAGCTGCTTGACTCCATCCTGGCTCCCACACATGACCAAGGGCCTTGACTGGTCCCATTCCAAAGTGGAGAGCAGGCTCCACAGAGAAGTTCAGAGTGGATCAGAACACGATGGGGGCCTTTAGGAAGGAGAGGGAAGGCAGGCTGAGAAGGCAAGCAGTCCTGCAGCTTTTGCATTCATGAAGCCATCTCGGGGTCCAAAGTAATCTAGCTCACCCACCTTAGTCACTCAGAACACATGTCCTGAGTGCAGATCACCACTCATCCAGCATGGTGCTGGCTGCTGCTGGGGATGCCAAAAAAGGGAGAGGCATAGTCCCTGACCTCAAGGAGTTCATAATCAGAATGAGCCCACAAAACGAAGCATCAAGGGCCTAGGGGCCTGTGGAGGGGGTGCCTAACAAGCTCTGAGTTTGAGATGGCTCTTAAATGACAGTCAATGTTGCAGCAGAGAAGGAGAGAGTAGAGTTAAGGGGGAGCCTGGGGTGGGGGGTGATTCCAGGGTGGATGGAATGGTCCAACTACTTGCATCCAACCATCCATCCCTCCATCCAGAAGGGTCTGCTCTGTACCTCCAGCCTGCATTACTACTCCACCCCCACCCCCATAAGTGCCTTGTCTCCACCTCCTTCCCCTCCCTGAAGCACCCTTATCACTATACTGTTATACTATATAGCTCAAAACCCTCCAGACTCGGGATTAACTCAACTTCTTTCTCATCTGGTTTACAGCCACCCCAACCAGTCTCTCCAACCTTCCCTCCCACTATTCCCCATACTAGAGCCCCACCTCAGCCTGGCTGTTCTCCCTGACACTTCAGGCTGATGCCTGAGTCCAAAACTTTGCTCACAGCAGTTCTATGCCTCCACCCCTGGGCCCCTTCTCCCCTCTTCTGATGCGACTCTCCTTTGAGGTCTGCATTCTGCTACTCTTCCCCCTGGTCCCAGCCCTGCCCTCTGCTTCTCCCTGCTTGGCCCTCCCATCACTTAGTGTCTGCACCGCTCCTTCAGGAACATCTTATGCCACCTCACATTGTCACCACCATCTCCTAAGCTTCTGGAGAGCAAGTCCGCACCTTTTCTAGCTCCTCTGCATTCAAAACGGGTGCTCAGCAGATTCTTAGCTCTGAGTCCAATGATGTCAAGGTGAATTGTTCCAAGTCTTCAATTATTGGGCCAGTTTAGGGACTTCAGAGAGAGGCACCTGCAGTCTGATAATGCTAACCCCAAAACTCTAGAGGCAGAAGCAGTTAAGATGGTCAGCAATGACCCCTTTGAGTCAAGGCAAGGGATGTGATATCAGATCATTCCAGCCAGGAATGGAGGAAGAAAGAGTCCAATGGTCCCCAGGAAGCAGATGATGATAAACAACCAGAGGAATATCCTGTCGATTACCATGGCAACATACTTCCAGTCTTCCTTTACCTGGAGGTAGAAATGGGCTCACAGTGACAGAGGCCAGGCCTTGGAGGAAGGGGAAGTTTCCTGTCCATGCACAGCTCCTGGGAGGTTCACCACTGCGGGGCAACTGCCCCATCAAGACCTTGGGAAGCTAAACCAGTGCAGGAAGAGGGGTGGGGGAGAGCAGAAATATGTTTGATTCAAGGCTCAAACAATCCTCACCTAATGACTCCTGACGTATCCCACCCCCTCCACAAGGTCCAGAGCATTTCTACAGACTCCTAAGTTCCAGGTAAAGGATGGCTAGGTATCCAGGTAAAGGCTGGGGATCCACTTAGAGGCATGGACCCTCCCAAAGGGGCCTTCAGTGATTTAAATACAATGCCCAGCAGTTACAGAATGGTGAAGACTTTGCTGCCCCATGTTGCCTCCCCACCCACCCACAGGAAATGGAGAGACGAAGGTTGGTGAGGGTAGCTGCAACCCAGGGAAGACTAGGGGGCCCTTTATGGAACTGAAGGAGAATCTTAGGCTCACAGCCTAGGCAAGGGGGTCTGGATTCCAAGCTGTTCTTGGATTAGATAATGATTAATTTTTCTTATCTACTGAACAAGGCCACCCAGTAAGAACCTCCTGGCCTTTCATCCTCCCCATGTTAATAAGTTGGTAGGTTGATAAAAAGAATTCTGTGATCCTGGGCAATGCACCGCTCACTTAATAATGTGGGACATGGTGGGGGTGGGGGTGGGAGCCTATCTGGCACAACAAAGATTCATCAGAGTTTGGGTGAATACTGAAGTTCACAAAACATCCAGAGCCCATGAACAAGGAAAAGGAGGAGGAGACCATCCAGGACAAAAGAGGAAGGCCGAAGCAGCAAGCTCATTGATTTGATCTTTCCTGAGAATATTCCCTCCGCCTCCTTCTGCCTCTTCACCTCCCACCATATAGGGTAATGTTGATAAATGGCTGGCATAAGGCAGAACTGGGGGAGTTTAGCTTTGAAGATCTCCCCCTCTCCCACTCACTGTCTACGAGTCACCATCTTGATTTCCATGGTATTCTGCCATTTGCTAATAAAATGTCCTAAGAATCTGGTGGCACAAATGGTTAAGCACTCGACTACTAGCTGAACAGTTGGCAGTTTGAATCCACCCAGAATCACCTCAGATGACATGCCTGGCAATCTGCTTCTGAAACATCACAGCCTTGAAAACCCTATGGAGCAGTTCTTGGCACACATGGGGTCACCATGAGTCAGTCGGAACCAACTCAATGGCAACTAACAAGAGTCTGCTAGCTAGTTATTATCCATCACAATGTATTACAGGCACTGAAGGGCCATGAATAAGGGAGATGAGTCCTCAAGGGAGGAGGTTGAGTTGGCTCAGGCTAATACCCTGTGGTTCCTACTAAGCTGGTGGAGGAGGGGCCCCTCACTCAGCTCCAACTTACCGAAAAGTCAGCATCCTCAGACCTCAGGTGATCAGCAATATAGTGCACGCCTTCCAGTGCCTTCTGTATGCTAGGTGACAGCAGGAGCCCACTCTTCTGCACCTGGGCCTCAGCCTTAGGACCTGAGGCCCCTGGATGCAGGCCATCGTGGCTGTAGAGGGCACCCATCAAGGGGGGTGAAAGACCTGCACACACCCATTTGTCTTCATCCTCCTCTTCCTCCTCTCTCTCCTCTGCATCCACATTGGTCTCCAGCCAGTGATAAGAGGGGTTGAGCTTCAGGCCTGAGGGGTCACGGAGCTCCAAGGGTGGCAGGGGCCGGTTCATCAGAAGCCACCTGGGCACACAGCCCAGGAAGGTCACCTGCACCCAGTGGGGCATATTGTGGGTGCTGGGGGATCGGTGGTGGACATTGAGCACAAAGACAGTGATGATGATAGAAAGGGTGACGAAGATCATGGTGAAGAGCAGATATTCGCCAATCAGTGGAATGACCAGGGAGGTGGAAGGGATGATCTCGGTGATGAGCAGGAGGAAGACAGTGAGTGAGAGCAGCACAGAGATACAAAGGGTGATCTTCTCGCCGCAGTCCGAGGGGAGGTAGAAGACGAGCACAGTGAGGCAGGAGATGAGCAGGCAGGGGATGATGAGGTTGATGGTGTAGAAGAGGGGCAGCCGCCGGATGACAAAGTAGTAAGTGACATCGGGGTAGATCTCAGCACAGCAGTCATACTTCTTGCTGTTGTAGCTACCTGTTGCATTGATGATGGCCCACTCACCACTCTCCCAGTAGTCCTTCAGGTCCACTGTCTGCTCCATCTGCTCCAAGTCGATCTTGGCCTTGTCGTAGCTCCAGGAGCCAAACTTCATCTTGCAGTTTTGCTGATCGAAGGGGAAGAAGGTGACATCGATGCTGCAGGAGCTCTTGTAGATGGCGGGGGGCACCCAGTGCACTGTACCCGTGGAGAAGAGGTGGGCCTTGGTCATGTGGGTCACCACAAACTCCCCATCTGCACTGGGGAGAGGAAAGGAGTTGGGGGACCTTGCAAACCCCATCTGCCCAAGCCAGGCTGCTCCAGGTAACTGGCAGGAGGGGAACTCCAATAACACAGTCAGACCTGGCCAAGTTGTTTGGGTTTTATGTACACGCATAAGGCTTGCCAGCATACAGAAATTTATAGCTACTAGGGGTTATCTTTTTAAAGACCATTTTTTAAAACAGAAGAAGAAATTTTGAAAAATATTGTAAAGTACCAAGAATTTTAAAAATAACTACTACTAACATTTTGATGTATTTCCTTTGTCATGTACAACGTTTTTACATATTTGTGATCATGGTGTATGTGTGGTTTTACTGCCTGTTTTTATTTATTTAATATTTTAGCGTGATTACTTATGAGTATATTTTCTCTCCCCTTGGGGTCCTTAGTTCCTTGCACAGAAAAGACCTAACGTCTTTGCTGATGAAGCTCCTTTCTTGATTCCATCCATTTAACTTGCATTTTTGAGCCAGCCTTATCCTCAAGGGCCTCTATCAGAGCTATGGGGGTAGAGGAATATAAGGCCCAGTTCCTGCCCTTTAAGGAACAATGAGGGGCAAAACGCTATGAGAATGGTCCAACTGCCCCACAAGACCTATGGGAAAAAAACTCCCTTCCAGCTGGAGCCAGCAGGATCACAATGGAAGTTTCCATTTGAACAAAGTTTTGATGGATGGTAGGATTTGGTATATGGATAGGGTGGACAGTGTGCCAGCAGAGCTGCCCGCAGGAAAAGAAACAGAGGTAGGGAAGGACAGACCCCGCATGCCGGGCTTGTGCTGGAAAGCAGGGTGTGAGTGGGGTACCCACTGCTGTGCAGTCGATTCTGACTCATGACGACCCTATAGGACAGCGTAGAACCGCCCCAGAGGGTTTCCAAGGAGTGACTGGTGGATTTGAACTACTGACCTTTTGGTTAGCAGCCATAGCTCTTAATCACTGCCTGGGGTACAGTGGGACATAAAGCCAGAAGGGCCCCATGGGAATGCAGGGCAGAGGTTTTGGAGAGTCACCGCAAGTTTTCAGTTGGGGAGGGGGGTGACACTGTCGCTTCTGAGGCCGTATGAAGGGAGAATCAGAGAGGGCTTAAAGAGTCGGTATGAGTCGGAATTGACTCGACAGCAACAGGCTTTTTTTTAATAGGGTTGCTGTGGGATGGGTATATGAGTCGGAATGAGTCGGAATCAACTCTGCGGCAACAGGTTTGATCTTTTTTTTTTGGTATTCAGAGTCAGGAGTCCCTGGGTGGTGTAAACGGCTAACACCCTCGGCTGCTAACCAAAAGGTTGGCGTTTAAGTCCACCCAGAGTCTGCTTGGAAGAAAGGCCTGGCCATGTACTTCTGAAAAACCAGGCATTGAAAACCCTGTGGAGCACAGTTCTACTCTGACGCACACATGGGGTGCCATGAGCGGAGTTAACGAGGGCAACTGGCTTGGTTTTGGATATTCAGAGTGGAGGATGTTCATTAAGTGGCTAGCACACTAGGCTAGCTGTGAAGTAATAAAGACTTCGCTGAGGTAGCTGTATAAATGGGAAGAAGAACATTTAACATGACAGGCATTCTAAGGACCCACAATGGCTGCGACACATGGAAGGCAAGAGATCAGGAAGAAGCAAAGACTGTTCTTTGGTGTTAGCTCGGAGGATTCTGGGATCCTAGTGATTCATTAAGTTGTGCTTCTGCTTCTTCGCAGCCTGAGTTTCCCTGGGAGTTGCCACAGCTTGGCTCCATGAATTAATCTTTAATGCACAGTCTCTCCCCCTGAAATTCCCACGGTCAAGCCTAAGGCCCAGAGGACCAGAATAATACATAGGAAGAGAGAGACTTCTTTCCTATGGAGTAGTTCCAGGCCAGAGTCATAGGCAGGCTGGAAACAGGAACATTGAAAGAAAGAGACAAACAGATCAGAGCAAAAGTTTGGAAAAAAAAAAAAGCATTTCTGTCATCACAGATAATCACCACTAGATGGCAACATGCGCCCCATTTTGAGGAAGGCCTGGAAAAGACGACTTTCTTTACATCCTTCTCGTTAACCTGGAGTGGAGTGTCTATGTGGAGGGAGGCCCTTCTTTAAATATTTGCAAGATTTAGGGTTGGACTTTTGTCCTAGCAAAATACTCTCTTATTAAAATCAAGTAACATTGGCTTCAACTTTATTTTGGTAATCCTAAAACACAAGGTCCTATCTGATACTAGGACTTTGCTCCTGACCTCTTTGAGATACACAGGAAACAGAAACAAGGATCTTGGATGCTGCTCTAGGACACAGAGATATGGCGTGGGGTGGGGCATCTGTGAGGCCTGCAGCAGCAGCAAACACCAGGCATCTGCTGTGTTAGCCATTCCAGGTGATAAACACGTTGAGGTGAAAGGGCTTTAGGTCTGACCAGAACTGGACCATGTAAAGGAATCACTGTCGTTCCATTCTGATCTACCTGGAGACACAAAATTCAGAGTGGTTTGTTTTCCCCTTCGTTTTATTGTTTAAGAATAGTTTTTTCAAAGTAAGGTCAAATAAATTGGAAAATGCTGGGTTAAGTGGTTTGCTAAAGAACTTCTAACAACGTTTAAAATACTATTGTGCCTAGACGTTTTCTAAAGGATGTGGAGTTATGCCATCCAATGTTGTCCAAAATTATTTGGCCATAGTCCCATTTTCATACCTATTTATATCTCAAGGAACTAAAACTTGTTGCTTTTCAAGTTGCAACTCATGGTGACCCCATGTGTGTCAGAGTACAACCGCGCTCCATGAAGTTTCCAATGGCTATGATCTTTCGAGGTAGATCACCAGGCCTTTCTTCTCAGTTGCCTCTGAATGGACTTGAATCACCAGCCTTTCGGTTAGTAGCCAAGCATTTAACCATTTGTGCTACCAGGGACTCCAGTGATACTTAGAAATATTTTTAGATGAATATAACGCCAAATTTAAAATTAAATCTTTTAATTGTAACTTCCTGATTTCTAAATGAGGAACTACCTGATAGCAAACAAGCTTTAATGAAAATGAAGATCTCTATTTTTTCTATAAATAAATTTGTTTTTTGCCCATGAGAGTTCTCTTTAGAGTCCCCTGTTTTTACTAACTTCTAGTCATTATGCTCATAGACTGATCTTTTTTGGTCTGGAATACAAGGCAAATATAAAATCACACGATTTTAAAAAATACACACATCAAGTGTGTTTTGCCCCTTTGAAGGTGTAGCTGCTGTGTGCTGCTCACCATTCCAACAGTGCGACAGCCTTCAACACACAAACCCTTACTCATTATTTTCAGAACCTGCACCACATTTTTCAAAAAAAAAAAAAAAACTCAGTATTGACAAATCTTTGTCCTACTAACACAGTGCTGAGCACTGACACATAGTAGGTGTTCAATAAATTTTGGTTGTATAAATGAATGAGAAGACAAAAATAAAAGAAATAAGGGAATAAGAGATGAAAAAAAAGAAATTCTTCGTGAAGCAGGAGTTGGGCCCAAACTGACTAATCAGGGAGGGGATGAAGCTGAAATGAGAAGGGGAGCCCCTCCCAAATCCAACCCAGCACAGCCTCCCATCACCATCCCCTATGCCACACTCCTCCCAGGACCCCAAAGGCTTCCTACTTGTTGTAGAGGACAATGTCGGGGATCCAGATCATCTCAGAAGGGACCCGGAGGGATGTGATGTTGCCGAAATCGGCCGGATTCCAGCGCAGCTTGTAGTCGCTCCACTCCTGTCATGGGGAGGGAGGCATCCCTGCAGGCTTGACCTTGGCACTGATCATGGGTGGCCTGGGGACGACGTGCTGAGGCCGGGCCTGAGCACCATGGTCAGGCCCATCCAGAGCTCCTTCTCCAGCCCCACACAATCAAAATGGCTGTGATGCCAGGAAAGAGCTCTGGCCTAGGAATCAAGGTCCGGCAAGAGGATAACCAACCTCTCGGTTTGGCTTTAGTTCTGAATGTCTGGCTTCCAGAGAAACCCCAGTCCCGGGTACACCGAGACGGTTGGTCACCCTTGTTGGGCCTCTAGACCTTATTGCTACTCTCCAGCTGAACAACCACGGCAAGCCACTTCACTCCTCTGTAGTAATGACATGTTTTAGTCTACCAGTGCACTGTCTTTCACATCATCCATCTAGGAAGAGTAATGCCGAGCAGGTATCAATATTTCCCCAATTTAACAGATGAGGAGCTGAGGACCAGAGAGGTAAAAACAACCTGCTGGAGGTATACACCTGAGACAGGGGAATTAACCAGTGACTTTCAAACTGTGCTCCAGAGAGACCCATTGGGTCCTCAGCAGGGAGGGGGATGCTCTAGGCCCCATCTCTGCTTCCACCAAGGCAGTTCCAAGTGGTTCTGTTTTTCTCCCCTCAAACCACAGGTTAGTTATTATTCTCTCTCTACGGTTTTTCTTTATGGTCTTATCACAAGTTGTGATTACACATTGATTCAAATTTTCAGAAAGTAGGCACATGAGAAGAAAACTTTTTTGTCTAGCTCAGTGTTTCCCAAATTTAAAGCACTTCAAATACTAACTTCATAATTTTTGCCACATATATGTACCACCTGTTCTATCACTTACTTAATAGTTTTCTTTAATGAGTCCCTGGGTGGCCCAAACAGTTAAGTGCTTGACTACTAGCCAAAAGGCTGTTAGTTCGAACCCACCCAGAGGTACCTTGGAAGATAGGCCTGGAGATCTGCTTCTGAAAGTTCACAGCCTTGAAAACCCTATGGAGCAGCTCTACTCTGCAACACATGGGGTCTCCACGAGTCAAAATCAACTCAACGGCCACCACCACCAACAATTAGTTCACTATTTTGAAACTTACGTAAATTAATATTTTAATTTTTTTTATATTTTATTTTTTTTAATTGTACTTCAGGTGAAGGCTTACAGAGCAAATAGTTTCTCATGAAACGGAAGTACACATGTTGTTTTATAACACTGGTTAACAACCCCACAACATATCAACCCTCTAACTTCTCAACCTCTTTTTTTTGGTAAAACTGCCCATAGCCAAAGATACACAATTTCAAAAATTTCTACATGGAAAACTAACAGCATTTGAACAAAATTGATAAAATATAAATATATGACTGCTAAAAAAGGTTTGTGAGCCAACTAAAATCATCTCACTAAGCCACCATTGGTACCCAGACCAGCCCGGGAAGATCTTGGTCTAGCATGGTGTTGACTGCTCCTGTGTAGGAGAAGGCTTTAGTGGGCGAAGGAGTCAGACTTGCAAAATAGGAAAGATAAACATGTCTGTAAATGTGTCCGGATTTCTCAAGACATTGGCTAACAACTGTGAAAGTGACTGGTCCTCATCAATGTGCACCTTTTTCCCCAGGGCACAGACTGTCAAGCTTTCCGGTTCAACCAGCATTTCTGGGGCAGCCACCCCAAGCAGGGTTACATCATTCAATTCCTCACAGGCATGTGGAAGGTAGGTTGTATTATTCCCATGTTACAGAGGAAGAAGGGAGGCTCAGAGAGGTTAAGTAATTTGCCCAGTATCACAGGCCTGACTCCCATTCCAAAGCTCCACCCTCTACTACCTACCCTCCACCCTTGTCCATGGGGATAATTGGGGCAACCCAGGTGAGTGGGTTCTGCCCCACTCCTGCCTTGGCTGGAGGTAAGAGCCTCACCTGTTTTAGCCAGACGTTGGTGGTCATCATTTGGTTCTTCTCATCCTGGCAGGTAGTGGGGAGAGAGTGAGAACAATTAGAATGACAGAACCAGCCCCAGAAAACAAAGTGGAGTGGGATGGGCTGTTTCAACCCCCCAGTCACTAGGGGAAACTCTTACATGACACCCCAAGTCCAGCTCACTTGCCACCCCCACCTGACACTGCTGCCCTGACTCAGACTCTTCAGGATCCATAAGCAACTTGGATCCTCTCAGCTCTGTCAAGTGGAGCAAGCAGGGCATCTAGAAAGCCCACTGCTGCCCATCAGTCCCTTACCTGGAGGAGACTGCAGGGCTGAGGGAGTGGGAGTAAGCAGGAGCAGACATGGGAAGACCTGGATTAGATCACCTTCTAGGCCTGCCCAGCCCTAGGGGAGGGCCTCTGACTGGCCATGCTGTGACTGAGGTGGGCTGAGCAGAGCTGGAGCTGGAGGTGGAGAGAGGATCCCAGGAAAGGGGCAGACCAGTCTGGGGGCTGATTCTGAGGGGACGAAGGGTGGTAGAAAAAACACACCACATCAATGAGCTGGGCAATGGACAGGCCAAAGCGCACGATCACCACATCTGAGGTGTTGGGTACTGGCCTTGCCCAGCGGTTGTAGCCCCCAAAGAGATGTCTGAAGAGGCGGTCCTCAGCTTGGGTATGGAAGTCTCGCTGTCCCAGTGCTGTGAGAGAGGGAGAGAGAAGTGGGATCTCTGGGAGTCCACTCATGGTGACTGAGACTTAACCTCCGCTCCCTTTCCCCTCAAATCGGAGCCACTCAACTTCACTGAGCCTTTGTTTCCTCACCTGTGAAATGGGGATAATAATCCAGAACCTATCTCAAAACATTGTTGAGGATTAAATCTAATAGTGTAGGCCAGAGCTTAGCACGGACCTAACACATATTTTGAGCTCATGAAATGTCAGCTACATAAGAAGTAGTGGAAACAAATACTAGAGACAGGTGCAGAGGCAGGCAATGGGGAAGAATTCAGACCTAGAGACAAGATTCAACCTTGAATTGAAGAGCACCAAGGGTGACAGCAACATGGGGGAGACACGTGGTCCGTGTGGGGTAAACTAGAGGGAGAAGTGCTTCCTGTAGAATCTGTGCCTGCCTCAGTTACTGTGGCCTGGGTAGCAGTGGGGCAGCCTTCAGATGAATTACTAATGCTAACATGTCTGATTCGGAGACCAGGAAATCCTCTGCCACATTGGACATTCCCCCCCCACTACCTTTTTTTTTTTTTCCCCTCAAACCATTGGCATTTCCTACTTCTGGTACAAATGATTAATGTGCTAACAAAAAGATTAGAGATTTGAGCCCACCCATAGGTGCCTTGGAAGAAAGGCCTGGTGATCTACTTCTGAAAAATCATTGGAAACCCTATGGAGCACAGTTCTACTCTGACACACACAGTGTTGCCATGAGTTGGAGAGGACTCGATGGCCACTGGTTATCAGTTAGACACAGTATTCCTCAGAAGTCTGATGGAATCACACATGTGTTTCATAGTATTCTGCAAACAGCTTCACCACCTCAGGGGTTCTGCCTGAGCAAGGCGAGAACTACTGCTCTAAACCCCAGAAGAACATGTCATTAGTATCTGGTGACACAAAGTTTGTCAGTAACAATAGCTACAGTGTACTGAGTGCCTACTGTATCCCAGATGCTATTTAACCCGTTGCTATTTACAAACTTTAATTTCTTTTAATCCTCACAATAGCTCTGGGAGGTTCACGGTGTTCTTTGCATTTTTCAGATGAGGAGCACTGAAGTTCAGGGAGGTTCAAGGTGACACAGCTGTTAATGTCAGAGCTGTGACTGCCCCTCCATATTTTCACTGTGGAATGAGCTACTCAGCTGATGATTTCTGATGTCCTCTGCAGCTTTGACGGTTGTGCTGATTCTATCAGCAGGAGTTTCCGCCATACAGCATATGAGCTTTATGAGTATGAAATTACATCTTATTAATTAAACCAGCTTACCTGCTGGGATCAGGAGGAGCCACCACAGGCCAAGCTTTGCCATGGATGGGAGTCCAGGACAGGAGACGCTCATAGCTTTGGAGGTGGGGGCTGGCTTCTCTTGGACAGCAGAAGAAGGGCAGGCCAGGGCTCTGCTGTGGTTGGGCCTCAAGCAGCTGGCACAGCAGAGCCGCCCCTGGACTCTGCATGGCTCCGGCTCTCTGCTGAACCTGAGCAGGCCTGGGAAATGGCTCTTAGGATCGTGCATCCTCAACAAGGAAGGAGCTTTGTTTCTTTCTCTGCCCAGGAAACAGCCCTCAGCAAGCCTCCTAGAGTGTTAGGGCTCTTGGGCTCTCTCCGGCTTGATTGAGGAAACTGGTCAACCAGCCGCTTTGCCTGGAAGACAAGCTCTGACCTGTGGCACAGAGGACAGCACAGGACAGGACTCAAGTCCTCATAGCCCTGACGGCAGTGTCTCATCTACAACATGGGGATAATTATACCTCAAAGGGTGCTCAAGTAAAAGAGGAGTCAAAAGTTGAAAACAACTCAAATACCCATCAATTGATGAATACATACACAAAATGGAGTATATAAATATAATGGAATATTATTCACCCATAAAAAGGAATGAAGGACTTGATAAATGCTATAACATAGGTGACCTTGAAAACTTTATGCTGAGTGAAAGAAGCTCGTCACAACAGGCCACATATTGAATGATTCCTTTTATGTGAAATGTCCTGAATAGACAGAAAGCAAACTGGTGGTTGCCAGAGGCCCAGAGGAGGGGGAAATGCAGAGTGACTGCTTAATGGGTACAGAGTTCCCTTTGGGATGATAAAAACGTTCTGCAACTAGATAGTGGTGATGGTTGCACAACGTTATGAATGTGCTAAATGTCAGTAATAGTAAATTTTATGCTATGAGTATTTTAACACAATAAAAAAGGGATATGAGTAAAAACGCTTTAAATATGTAAAACACTAAATAAAAAAAAAAAAAACCATTATGATCGAGTTAATTCCGACTCATAGTGACACTATAGGACAGAGTAGAACTGCTCTATAGGGTTTCCAAGGAGCAGCTGGTGGATTTGAACTGCCAACCTTTTGGATAGCAGCCAAACACTTAAACCCCTGTACCACCAGGGCACTAAATACACTAAATACACCAGGGCACTAAATACACAAGGGAATCAGAACTAGTATTGATGGAGTTATGCAGCCTTTCTGTCTGGTTTATTCCCATCCCCCCAGTCCACCCTATCCCAACTCTCTCAACAATGGCTCCAGACATTATAGATACTTCACCTCCCCTCACCCCTGTCAGCCTACCCATCCTACCCTCCTTCAGTCGGAGAAAGAGAACTGGACTTGAAGTTTGAAAGTGTGGCTTTGAATTTTGGCTCCACCACTGACTGGGCAGGCCACTCAGCCCCACTGGGATTTTGTTCTGTGAGTAAAATAAGGATAACAAACTCCTTGCCCTGCCCACCCCTCAGGCCCAGTGAGAGGAGCAGATGGACTCATGCCCATGAAAGCCTGTGAGCACTGCAGAGTGCTGGACAGTGCAGTGGTTTCTCTTACCGTTATCAAGACACAATGATCCAATGACATCGCACATTGATAACTTGTGCCAACTTGGACAAAGAGAGGGTGTTGGAGGGGTTTGATGTGAATTTCAAAGTGTTGAGATTTCTGGAACTTAAAATTGTTTAAAATAGGCTTTTCCGGAAAATGTTTGGAGTAGAGTCCCTGGGTGATGTAAAAGGTTAAGCACTCGACTACAAGCTGAAAGGCTGGTGGTTTGAACCCACCCAGAGACATTTTGGAAGACAGGCCTGATGATCTGCTTCCGAAAGGTCACAGTCTTGAAAACCCTATGGAGCAGTTCTAATCTGACATATGGGGTTGCCATGAGTCGGAATTGACTTGATAGGAACTAATAACAACAATATCAATCCAGAGTATATTTAGAGTAGAAGACCCTCCCTCTTCAATTTTCTTGGAAGTTTGAATTAAAGACTTATTAGGAATTGATCATTGCATTTACTCTCTTGTTCCCTCAGGACAATATGGTTCCTCATTACCAGCCACACTAGACAAAGCACTACAACTCACGCCCCAGGTTCCACTCCTAGCATTCCTAGCTCTCTTAGAGGGACTGTCACTGGTCCCCCTCCTGGCCCCAAAGACCCACCTGGCAGCTGCGTCCTGAGGTGGAAAAGACCAGTGGTTCCTAGAGGGTGGCTGCTCTGAAGCACCTGCTGGGCACCAGGAGAGGACAGCCCACAGCTCGCCCAGAATGCGGTCCCCAGGGGTGTCATGAGGATGGAGCAGGGGTCCTGGCAGTGGGCTGCTCCCTCCATAGATAGTCCCCCATACACATCCTCCCATCTGGAGCTGCTTCTGTCCAAACAACAAATTGTATGCTTGAGCATGATGTCAGGAGCTGTCGTACTGGGGAGTCTAGGTTTGCATGTGTGTAAACTAGCAACTCCCTCCAAATCATGCAGAGTGGTTGTGCAGCACCTTCCCCAACCTGGGCTCTCAACGCCTGTGGCCCAAGTGCCAATGAGCTGCTGAGTTGCAGCTGCAGGGTCTCAGGGTCTCAGGCCCTCGAAGGTGCAGGAACTCGTCTCCTGGGGGCTGCCCAAGCAGATCCATTACACAGGAAATGAGCATAGCTAACGTAAGTCCAAAGGAAGCTATCATTGCCATTTTGATCTTTTCCTATGGATATATTGATCACCTGTGTTATCTCTAGGTGCAGGGATTAGAGGAATATATATATATGTATATATTCACCAACCAGCCAACCCATTGCCATCGAATCGATTCCAACTCGTAGCAAGGGGTTAGGTTTCCAAGGAGCAGCTGGCGGATTTGAACTGCCAGACCCTTTGGTTAGCAGCCGTAGCTCTTAACCACTGCACCACCAGGGCTCCCTATATATATATATACATATGTATATATATATATATATATATATATATATATATATATATATATATATATATATATATATATATATATATATATATATATATACATTTCTATATTTTTCAAATTTCCTGCCATAAGCATGTATTACTTACTTAATATAAAATGTATTTTAAAACACCCTGGTGGCTTAGTGGTTAAGAACTATGGCTGCTAACCAAAAGGTCCGCAGTTGGAATCCACCAGGCCCTCCTTGGAAACCATATGGGGCAGTTCTACTCTGTCCTATAGGGTCGCTATGAGTCAGAATTGACTCAATGGCAAAGGGTTTGTTTTTTTTTTTGGTGTGTTTTACACACTTTCTTTCCAAAATACAGGCAGATTGTGACTCCATCCCTCCATCTGAATGGAGTGTAGGTAATCAAAAGTCAACTGTGTTCACTGGAATCATCTTAGGGCTGAGACAAGAATGATGCCAGGAAATGGACTACAGCCTCTGAACCCCTCATGGTGGGGGGGAGGTCAGGGAAAAAGGTCCGCAGAGGTTTTTGAAGAAAATCAGAAGTTCCCAGTTTGAGCCTCTTGAAGGTGGGGATGGTATCTTACTCATTTTTTACCTCCAGCCCCAAGCACAGCACATGCACTTAGCAGGTGCTTAATTTGTGGTCTTCAGGTATATAGAGCAACTTGTGAAAGGGCGGAAGAGGGCTGGGAGAGCATCTGTGGAAGAAGACTAAGGCTTGCCGCTGAGTTTAGGGAGCAAGACTGTAGAACATTTATTCCCATAATCCGATGTTTGTTGTTTTCTTTATTCATTCACCATTTATTGGGGGCTAACAACGTGCCAGCCACTAGGGACCGAGAACTAATTGTACATGGTCCAGAGGAGAACAGAGTGGAGAAGAAGCAGAAGGAAGAAATATACTAGAATCTCATCCCTCATCCACCCTTGCTATGAGGCATAATTTATTCATTTAGTTCCTTTTATTTCAAAGCCATCCATGGACACTCGAAGTTCCCCTAGGCATCCCTTCCAGGCTTTATATAACTCCTCACACTGGAAAGTTCTTTCCAGAGTCTGATTCTGTGTAAGCATCAGAGGGATGCTTTAGTTTAGTTTGGTTTGGTTTAGTTCAGTTTAGTTTAGAGATCCTGGTGTTAATACCACATATAAGAGACTAGATTCTTTAGCACCAAGAAAAACTGCAGGGCAGGTTATGCTTTTTCGCTTCTCTCTGCCCTCATCCAAACATCTGACAATCACTGAACTCCTACCGCATGTTACCCCCACCCCCGCTCCCCCAAAAGAAAAAAGAAAACCAAGCCCGTTGCCCTCAAGGCAATTCTGACTCCTGGCAACCTCACGTGCACAGAGTAGAACAGCTCCATAAGGTTTTTAAGACTGTGAACTTTCAGAAGCAGATTACCAGGGCTTTCTTATAATGCACCTCTGGATGGGTTCTAACTGCCAGCCTGTTGGATGGTAGTCAAGCAATTAAGCATTTATACCACCCAGGGACTCCTCAAGTGTCCCATGCCCTCCTAATTTACCTGTGGATGTCAGTGACTAAAATAGTACCTCACTTCCACTATCACCACCATATGGAAGTTTTGTTTGCCTGTTAAAATGAAAAAGAGTTATAAAATTCAACTGCTTATATCTATCATCACACATGCATGAAGGTTCACTGCTTTACTTCTGGTTATATGTGAGAAAATAGAGCTAGATAGTGCAGGGAAAGAGGATCCCAGGGTTCCCTTTGATGTTAACTCTTAGAAGGTCTTCCTAAGAACAACTTCCTTCCATTTCTATAGTTTTAAGGTTTACAAAGCATGTTCACACCTTTGTGAACTCATTGGAGCCTCACAGCACCCCTAGGAGAGCATAGAGAAGCGATATTATTATCCCTTTTATATAAATGAACAAACTGATGTTCAGAGAAGCTGATTGATTTGCCTAAGGCCACATAGGAGAAAAAGTAGTAAAGTTGAGATTCAACCTTAGGTCTTCAGCTTCTAAATTATAATGTGAATGTGCTTATGGGTAAAGTGCTACCCAGTGGCACCAACTAGGATGGTGATGTTGTATGAGCAACTTGCCCAGTACTTGCATCTGTTCTATAGTTCCCAGTGCTATGACTGTCATAGC